TTTTTAACTCAGAATTAGGACCTTAAATTGCTCCCCTGTAAAAGTTAGCATATGACTTTGGTAAAACAGGGAGACATGGCACATATAGAACAATCAGCCACAACAATCTTATGGACACAAATCCACATAGGGTCCATACTGCTCTATCACCCATATTGATTTATTTATCACTTTTTATTAAGAACTTGTAATAAAAAAATAAAATGGTTAGTAAAGGTTACAGATTACTGAGCAGAGTAACCATGTGATCACTGCAGGCCCCTGTAACCACACAGCAAATTCACTCAGGGTCTCACATCTATCCTCCTCTGAGGAGGAGGAACTGTGGTTGGGTCTTGTGTGAAACACACAGCTCAGGCACAGCACTTTCGTAAACCTTAGGTAATAATTCCTATGAGCAAATCTTTATGGAGGAAAACAAACTCTACACAGGAGATATTAAGGCAGAGAGTTTAAATCAATTGTCATTAATGGAATTGGCATACACATGTTCTTGCTAGCCTACCTTTCTCTTCAACAATCACTGTTATCCCATTTCAATGTATTTTATTAAAGAAAGGTATTTCAATAATTATCTCACAGCAGTAAAATCCAGCCTCATTTACACTGGCAGATTTGATGACTAGCAGATCTTTGTTTTCATGCATGATGTTGGATGGATAGTTGTTTTCATGCATGATGTTGGATGGATAGAGACGTTTTGACTATATACTTTTAGGATAGATGTTCACTTTATTAACAAAATGACAGCTCGTTCTACACCTCTCAATAGATTTTTGCCAAATGCAGATGATTTTAGTGTAGTCTCCAACTGATATATTTATATTTTTTGGTATTTGGATGACTCTTAAATTACTGTGACCTGTAGCTAATGGAGAAATATACATAGATTTCAAAGGTAAAGCAACAAAAAGTTGTCATTAAAGCTGTATTTCAAATAAATAATTTAAACATTAAAGAAGTGTTTGAATATTAAAAAAAAAATAAAAAATAATACTGTAAAATCATTATTAAATTAATTTTCAAGCTTACTTAATAGTTACTTCTCCCTTGAACAATGGCAATTGATTTCTGGCTAAAGTACTTTTAATCTGATGTGTTAAAGTCCTCCATCATTGTTTGTGTGCAATAAATGAAGATTTTCTGCATACTTGCTGATAAACATATTTTTTATTTTCAAGAAAAAGCTTTATAAAAAGAGATTGAGTCTGAAGAATATTAAACACTCTCTCCAGGTAAAGAATGATCAAAAGGAGTAATACAGAATGATTCATTAGTCAATAGTGAAAAATTCATCAAGGTTAAAGAAAAAGTCACTGCAATTTTTGTTCCCATGTAGGAGTTCTTGTCCAGCACTACTTCTAATGAACGACTTCTAAAGGATTAAAACTGCCAGTCTACAGCATTTTAGAGGTGGGTTTTTAAATTTGGTTTCAACTTCTTCCATTAGGTACTTGCTGACAAGTGGTTTATAACATCAAATTCACCTCCATTTAGTAAGAGGCCACGCAGACCCTGTTCTCTCATCAGGTCTCTTGTCTGGCTTTTAAGAAGAGGCTGACTTGGACAGCATCAGAAGAAATCAAACTTTTCACTCCTTCCTGCTTTCAATACATTTTTCTTTCACTGTCAGCATGCAAAGTGATTGATACATGAGACATTGTGCAATATATGCACAAAATATTTTCTTCTAAAGTGAAACCACTGTGTGGGTATCAGGTAACTCTTTTTACATTCTAATGGCATTGATGATCATTACAAATGTGCCAATCCTATAAAATCTAATCCCATGACTGCTGAGACAATTAGTTTCATATGCTGTATCAAGAATCATAATTTGCTTTATTCTATCATTTATAACATTAAAGTGAAGAACTAATAATAAAAGCAAACTGCATGATTTTCTTCTACATTTTATTCTGTTTATCGCTCAGGCACATTTCACAGCAAGACATAACTAACTAGTCAATTTTTTTAATATCTCACCCTAAAATGGCATCTGATCAGTTTTATCAAAAAAAAAGCAAATAATTTTTTCTATTTTGTCCATAGAAAAAAACACACATTCATTATATGTAAAGGAGTCAGGCAGCTCCATCTTTACAATGCAACAACTAAAATCTTGTAGAGAACAATATGGACAGTATAGGGATAATAAAAGCAGCAGAATTGATGTAGTGTGTAAATGAAAACCTAGAAGCTGTTCAAGTTAAAGAAATAATCATTAATTTCAGTTTTTCTGTTCATTCAGTTTGTTGTTTAAAACACAGTTGTGCTATTGACTGTGCTACATTTCCATCTTGTGACTTTACTGTTTTTCTGAAAAATGTCACTGATAAAAATTCTTTTGCTGATTTTTTAACTCATATGGAATGCCTTTAGCATTATCCACTGTAATTTGTACTGAATAAGAATAATGAATCCTTATCTGCTTTGTATTTCAGTACCTATGTGATCTAAAATAAATCCTCCTTAACATTTTAAAATTCTACATTCAGCATTTGTCATAAAAAATATTCAAGTCAGAAGTCCTAAAAAGACGGTGCATACATTAACCTAAAATCATTTTGGGTGTTGAAGTGTTCAATTTGTTCCTCTATGCTTTGCCTGCAATAATTTCTTTGTGAAAATGCTTTTTGATTTCTCATGCTTTTAAATCTTGCTTTCAGCATTATTAAAAAATAGTTAATATTATCCTTGTCTCACATGTGTATTTGAGGCGGATATACCGTAAGTTTTTTTTTAAGTCCGACTCAAGAATTACAGGCAACTATCTAAAACCAAAACACAACATCAAAAAAAAGCAACACTTAGCTAAACAGATAAAACACACTGTTAAATGAAGTTCCATTGAAATTATGATCATCGTGCAGAATTATTAGTGTTAACATCAGGCTGCCTTGTTGAAGGTCAGCAAAACATCAAATGAAAGCATATCAAATTTGCAGCTTAACTTCCTCTTCCCTCCTGTGCTTGGGATGATACAACCTAAATGTGTCCCAATTTTTCCCTATGCTCTGTGAAACTGCTGTTGCAGAACCCAGCCATCCTATTGGAAATTAAATAATTTCTTCTTTAAAATTTAAACTGTAAGTGGCTGCTGTTCAACCCAGATTAGCCTGTCTTCTGGTATGACGTAAAGAACTGGTTTGCCAAATGTGGTTTCATGGGAGCATTTGCCATTGTCCTTCTAAAATCCTTTGTTTAAAAGCCCTTCAGAAAGGTGAGGTTTCTTTGTGCAGCTGCTTGTCAGCAGCCTCTTCCAGCCAACCAGATGAATCTTATCCAAAGCCAGACAGTGATTGCACTGGTTTACACTGAAGCCAAGTATTGCTCCTATCTTTATCATACATTTCATTACCTCCTGGCTGGAATGTTGCCTAAATTCTTCCCTCCTGTGAGAAGAACTTTTGTACTTTTGCCTTAACAGCGGCACAGCTCCACTGGCAGGAGCAATAGAGGAATGCTGAGTTCCATGATCACACTCCAAGTGGCCACAGCACCCTGAAACACCAGTGGGGACCTTATGCTGTGCCTGCAATGCATCAACCATCACCTCTCTGGGCACAGCTGCATTAATGCAGTACCAGCACCATATACATTAACTAAAGCTTATTTCAGGAAGATTATAAGAATAGGTTAAAAGAAAATTATCTTCACATCTCAGCAAGTTAAGGGTAAAACTTAGCTTATTTGTCATCAATTATTAAAAAAAATTCTGCAAATGTAGGTAACTGTATGCTGCTTAATATTCTCCAACACTGATTTTTGGCTCCAACTCAGAAACACTCATATGGCTGGCCAGAGACATTCCCTGGAAGACAAAACATTGCATTTGTTTCTTAACTTACCCATCTTATCACATGTTTCAAATGCAAAGTTACCAGGCCAGAAAAAAATGTCCCACAAACATGTTCAATTGGATAATGTCAAAATTACAAGGATAGAGTTGAAAAAAAAAATAAAAAAATCAATAGAACATGCTGAGAATATCAATCAGTTACATTAGGAACTTGATTAAGAATCTGTCAGCCACTGATTTCCTAGAACTAACGTCAGGTTTTAGCAGCACTGGGCAGGTGCCCAGAAACAACTGAACAACGTTTTGTAATGATGACAGTGTCACATTTAGGGCCTAAGGCATTGTTCCTTTCCAGTTAGCAGCAACAAAAGCACAGTGCACCAGCTCATCTTCTTCTCTGTATCTACCTTACAGACATAGTTTCAGTGTTATTTAGATTGCCATGTAAAATTAAAAGGGAGAGCAAAGATAAATGTCACAAAGTGCTGCAGGCTAGCCCCATTTCTGATGCTATCCAGTTGACTTGTTTATCATCTTTTAGAACTAGTGAGGAGACAAATACCTTTAAATTCAAATGAATAAAGGGATTTATTAAGGCAAATAATGTATATTTAAGGATATAATTTCATTATGTAAGTAATTCTGCTCACATTCATGCTTTGGTAATACTGATCAAAGACATAGAATGCACTAAAAATTTACATATGCAAAGATGCATGTGTAAATCCAAAGGAAGAAGTATTTTATTTTGCATTTAAATAACTGCATTTGTGAATTTAGTGTTGAGTTGTGCAGCTGGCAGCTCCAACATGCAGAATAATTTGTCTAGAAACTAGGTGAAGCTTTTTCCATAGAGCTGATAGCAGCTTGTATTTACTCTAAGAGATACTTTGGTTCTAGTCCAAAGCATCTACCGTCAGAGATGAAATGAACTAGCACACAGAAAAATAGGTTGGCTGAAAGGTTTATTTTTAGCCCTGGTAACTTCTCTGTACCATTTTACAACACAACCCCACAAACTCTCACCACAGAACTACTGAGTGGGTGGAAAAATACGGTGTCAAAATTGCTTAAGTGACCTTTGCTGCCAGAAGTGTAGCATACAAAATAACTACATGGGTCAGGAAAACATCTACAACAGAAAGAAAAGAAATATTAATGGGATCTTTCTGCAACTCAATCGTATTTAAACTTGGAAACTACATTGATGAATTTGGATTCTCTAAATGTGTACACTTACTCACCTGTGTGCTGGAGATGATTGCAGAGCAGCTGCTCAGAGCAGCCAGTCAGTCTCTTCCAAACACTTTCCACAAATCTCTCTTCCCCAAACTTTTCTCTGTCACTTTTAAAGAGCACCAGTTGAGGCATACTGAAAATTACCTGGAACTTTGGAACAAAGAGAATCTAAACCCTCTTCCTTCTCACCTGTATGTCAAACTTGTTTGAGCTTGTAACATAAACATTAATGAGACAGCAGCTTTTTTGAGGTGCAACTGTCAGCTGGGAAAATTTATTAATAGATAGAAACACTGAGGAGAATGTGTGTGGAACTGAAACTAACACCAAGGCTTACCACAGCAAAACATGCTGCACACGTGTGACTTTGTCCTCTGGTTATGACATTACATGAAATCTCTTTTGCAGGTCCTTCTGATGTATGGTTTGAAGTAGTATTTGAGTGGCTTGATTTCTATCAATTTTTTATGTAGCACTGCAGTATTCCTCCTCAATAGATTCATATATGTGAGGGAAGATAAAGGATCATTAGTAAACAGGTCCCTCTACCGAGATTTGAATGCCTGCAGGCTTCCATTTGCTTAGGCTGAGACTTCTCAAGAAAAAGAACATTCAAAATAGGGAATGACATCTTCTTCTAGCAGAAATGCCATGATTTTTACAGACCACAGTCTGGGATGCCTCCAGTGCAATACAAGATTTGACTCTGGCAAATTATTCCCTGATGGCCAATTGCCTTGAAATAACTCCAGATAAAATATTCCTTTTCATGTTATTTTTTTCCTTTAAATCAGAAAGCTTCCACTAATCAAAACAGAAATTCCCTCAAACAGATAAATCAGCTGGTAATGAGGTATTCCTGCTTATATTATGCTGTATTAGAAGGTTTTTGTAGGCCTAGTTCAATCTGCCACCTGGGAAAGCAGTGCCTGGAGGTAGCAGCTGTAGGATCCTTTGCTGCTTGGCCAGGACTGACATGCAATTGCTCACTGAAGGGACAGTTCAATGTTTATAATCTATCAACATAACTTGCTGTTACCATCATTTGTATTAATGACCACTTCAGTCACAAAAATATGAATTGTAATCATATCCCTATGTAAGCCCTGCATTATATTCCACAGCAGAACCAGGCAGAGAATGAAGGAAGATGCAGAAGCAAGGAAAATGACCTAGTTGAACATGTTTCATTTCCCAAATACATACACAAAACAAAATGAAAACCAGCTGCCATCATGCTTTACTGCATCACAGTAACTGTTTTTATGTGCTTCCCCTTCTGGCTTAATGTTGCAGGAAAATGGCTTTCACTGCAGTAGGACAGGTTCGATTGGCACACCACTAAATATTTATAGCCAAGGACAAAAAATAACCATCAGAAAATACCAAACAACCTTTCTTCATCCAATAACTGAATGTGACAGTTTCTGCAGTGATTTCAATGAGATGCAAAACAGGCTGTCTGCACAGGAAAGTTGACCACCAGCACAGGTCTTCAGCATAACTATTTCCCAATAGGTATTCTGGAAAGGCCTTTTTCACTCTTTTTCCTTTGTTCTTGAACAGTGTTTCCATGTGGAGAAAATTACTGCTAAACAGCCAAAGTTAATTAGAACAATTACCACAGTAAAAGGTCATTTTTACAGGAATCTAGATCTGTGACTATTAACTGGCTGAAAATGCACCTATTCTCTTTTAAATCTATTTCCTCTTTCAGTTTTATGTTTCACTCATCATAAATACAGCTTTGTACAGTGTTGCACCAAACAACATTCATCATTACTACTGTAGTGAAGTAACCTGCTTGATTCTCATCTCAGCTGTGGCCATTTTCCTGGTGAACAGGCAAAATAAGTAGAGATGTCCGATGGCATGAGAACAGAGTAAGATTCTACACATCCATGTTGTCTAGAGCTAAGAACAAAAACAGAAAAAATGCAGCTTTTATTTTTGACAAAAATCTTTACCAGCTCTTGGGAAAGTTAGTCGCTCTCCAAGTTTCCTTCAGCTGCTCAATCAGATCTGCTTAGAATTTGCCCTCACTGCCAGTTTAGCCTCTCCACACAGTATTCCATAGCTAACTTTGACTTGCTGCTATTGGAACATTTCCTGCTACCACTGTGCACATTCTCTGAGCCTGAGAATTAATAAAGTCCACAGCATCACAAGAACAGTGCTCCTCCTTCAGCTTACATGATGAGTCAGTTACTGGCCATGGGACAAGACACCTTCTACTGTCAAACTGGCTTCA